TTCTGGAAGTAAATGAGGATAACAGCACAACATACCAAAACTTATGGGACACAGCAAAAGCAGTGTTAAGAGGAAAGTTTATATCAATAGGTGCCTACATCAAGAAATTGGAAAGACACCAAATAGATGAGCTTTCAATTCACCTCAAGGATCTAGAAAACCTACAGCAAATCAGACCCAAATCTAGTAGGAGAAGAGAAATCATTAAAATCAGAGAAGAAATCAACAGGATTGAATCAAGAAAAACATTACAAAAAATCAGCCAAACGAAGAGCTGGTTTTTTGAAAAAATAAACAAAATTGACACCCCATTGGCCCAACTAACTAAAAAAAGAAGAGAAAAGACCCAAATCAATAAAATCAGAGATGAAAAAGGAAATGTAACAACAGACACCACAGAAATAAAAAGAATCATCAGAAATTACTACAAGGACTTGTATGCCAGCAAACAGGGAAACCTATCAGAAATGGATAGATTCCTGGACACATGCAACCTGCCTAAATTGAACCAGGAAGACATCGAAAACCTAAACAGACCCATAACTGAGACAGAAATTGAAACAGTAATAAAGGCCCTCCCAACAAAGAAAAGCCCAGGACCAGATGGATTCACTGCTGAATTCTACCAGACGTTTAAAGAAGAACTAACTCCAATTCTTCTCAAACTATTCAGAACAATCGAAGAAGAGGGAGTCCTCCCAAATTCTTTCTATGAAGCCAGCATCACCTTAATTCCTAAGCCAGAGAAAGATGCAGCACTGAAAGAGAAATACAGACCAATATCCCTGATGAACATAGATGCAAAAATCCTCAATAAAATTCTCGCCAATAGAATGCAACAACACATCAGAAAGATCATCCACCCAGACCAAGTGGGATTTATCCCTGGTATGCAGGGATGGTTTAATGTGCGCAAGACAATCAATGTGATACACCACATTAACAGACTGCAGAAGAAAAACCATATGATTATCTCAATAGATGCCGAGAAAGCATTTGATAAAATACAACACCCGCTCATGATGAAAACTCTAAGCAAACTGGGTTTGGAAGGAACATTCCTCAATACAGTCAAAGCAATCTATGAAAAACCCACAGCCAACATCCTATTGAATGGGGAAAAGTTGGAAGCATTTCCACTGAAATCTGGAACCAGACAGGGATGCCCACTCTCACCACTGCTATTCAATATAGTTCTGGAAGTTCTAGCCAGAGCTATTAGGCAAGAAAAAGTAATTAAAGGGATACAAATTGGGAAGGAAGAACTCAAACTATCCCTCTTTGCAGATGACATGATTCTTTATTTAGGGGACCCAAAGAACTCTACTAAGAGACTATTGGAACTCATAGAAGATTTTGGCAAAGTAGCAGGGTATAAAATCAATGCACAAAAATCAACACCCTTTGTATACACAGACAATGCCATGGCTGAGGAAGAACTTCTAAGATCAATCCCATTCACAATAGCTACAAAAACAATCAAATACCTTGGAATAAACTTAACCAAAGACGTTAAAGATCTCTACGATGAAAATTACAAAACCTTAAAGAAAGAAATAGAAGAGGATACCAAGAAATGGAAAAATCTTCCATGCTCATGGATTGGAAGAATCAATATCATCAAAATGTCCATTCTCCCAAAAGCAATTTACAGATTCAATGCAATACCAATCAAGATACCGAAGACCTTCTTCTCAGATCTGGAAAAAATGGTGCTGAAATTTTTATGGAGGCACAAGAGACCTCGAATAGCTAAAGCAATCTTGTACAACAAAAACAACGCCGGAGGCATCACAATACCAGATTTCAGGACATACTACAGGGCAGTTGTAATCAAAACAGCATGGTACTGGTACAGAAACAGATGGATAGACCAATGGAACAGAATTGAAACACCAGAAATCAACCCAAACATCTACAGCCAACTTATATTTGATCAAGGATCTAAAACCAATTCCTGGAGCAAGGACAGTCTATTCAATAAATGGTGTTGGGAAAACTGGATTTCCACATGCAGAAGCATGAAGCAAGACCCCTACCTTACACCTTACACAAAAATCCACTCAACATGGATTAAAGACCTAAATCTACGACCTGACACCATCAAGTTATTAGAGAACATTGGAGAAACCCTTCAAGATATTGGCACAGGCAAAGAATTTCTGGAAAAGACCTGGGAGGCACAGGCAGTCAAAACCAAAATCAACTATTGGGATTGCATCAAATTGAGAAGTTTCTGTGCTGCAAAAGAAACAGTCAGGAGAGTGAAGAGACAACCGTCAGAATGGGAAAAAATATTTGCAAACTATGCAACAGATAAAGGGTTAATAACCAGAATCTACAAAGAGATCAAGAAACTCCACAAAAACAAAACCAACAACCCACTTAAGAGATGGGCCAAGGACCTCAATAGACATTTTTCAAAAGAGGAAATCCAAATGGCCAACAGGCACATGAAAAAATGTTCAAGGTCATTAGCAATCAGGGAAATGCAAATCAAAACCACAATGAGGTTTCACCTCACCCCGGTTAGAATGGCTCACATGCAGAAATCTACCAACAACAGATGCTGGCGAGGATGTGGGGAAAAAGGGACACTAACCCACTGTTGGTGGGAATGCAAGCTGGTCAAGCCACTATGGAAGTCAGTGTGGAGATTCCTCAGAAACCTGAAGATAACCCTACCGTTCGACCCAGCCATCCCACTCCTTGGAATTTACCCAAAGGAATTTAAATTGGCAAACAAAAAAGCGGTCTGCACCCTAATGTTTATTGCAGCTCAATTCACAATAGCTAAGACCTGGAACCAACCTAAATGCCCATCAACGATAGACTGGATAAAGAAATTATGGGATATGTACTCTTTAGAATACTATACCGCAGTAAGAAACAACGAAATCCAGTCATTTGCAACAAAATGGAGGAATCTGGAACACATCATGCTGAGTGAAATAAGCCAGTCCCAAAGGGACAAATACCATATGTTCTCCCTGATCGGTGACGACTGACTGAACACCAAGAGGGAAACCTGTTGGAGTGAGGTGGACACTATGGGAAATGGTGGCTTGATCAGCATAGCCCTGACTGTTAATGAACAACTTAATACATTATCCCTCTTAGTAGTTTTTTTTTATCTGTTCTACTTAATATGACTGGTTTAGATCTGTAATTGATGCACAGTTATTCTTAAGTGTTGAAAATTAACTGAAATGTGATCCCTGTTGAACATGGTGGTGGGAATGGGAGAGGGAAGAGATGTATAATTTGGGACATGCTCAGGCTGACTTGCCCCAAGTGGTAGAGTTGGAAGCATACCAGGGGATTCCAATTCAATCCCATCGAGGTGGCATGTACCAATGCCATCTCACTGTTCCAGGTGATCAGTTTCAGTTCACAGTTGGTCATGGTGAAGGGACTGGGAGTCAAAGGGAACACATAGACAAGTCTAGTACCTGCTAACGCTAACCGATGGAGTAAATAAAGGGGAGAGTGATCCAACATGGGAAGTGAGATACTCAGCAGACTCATAGAATGGCAGATGTCCTAAATAGCACTCTGGCCTCAGAATCAGCCCTAAAGGCATTCGGAGCTGGCTGAAAAGCTCATGAGAGTATTTCAGGCATGGAAAGCCAAGACACTCTGGCAAAAGATCTCTGCGAGTGAGATCCCAGTGGAAAGAACAGGTCATCAAAGAAGGAGGTACCTTTCTCTGAAGGGAGGAGAGAACCTCCACTTTGACTATGACCTTGTCTAAACAAGATAAGAGTCGGAGAACTCAGAGGGCTTCCATAGCCTTGGAAACTCATGACTGGAGCATAGGGAGATTACTGATGCCATAGACAGGAGTGTCAATTGGTAAAGTCAACAACAGGAGTCACTGTGCACTTACTCCTCATGTAGGATCTCTATCCTTAATGTGCTGTACATTGAGATTTAATGCTATAACGAGTACTCAAACAATATATTTCACTTTGTGTTTCTATGGGGGTGCAAACTGTTGAAATCCTTACTTAATGCATACTAAACTGATCCTCTGTAAAAAAAAAAAAAAAGAAAATAAAAAAAAAAAAAGAAATTATCAATTCCCAACTTGACTCTCACTGGGATTAAACATGACAATAGGTCTGCTCTGATTTCATCATCATTTAAAAAAATCATCTATTATTTTTCACTTTATGTTTCTGTGTGGGAGCAAACTGTTGAAATCCATACTTAATGTATACTAAGCTGATCTTCTGTATATTAAGATAATCGAAAATGAATCTTGATGTGAATGGAAGGGGAGAGGGAGTGGGAAAGGGGAGGGTTGTGGGTGGGAGGGACGGTATGGGGGGGAAGCCATTGTAATCCATAAGTCGTACTTTGGAAAATTATATGCATTAAATAAAAGTTTAAAAAAAATGAACAGACACTTTAAAAAAAAAAGAAAAGAAAAATGGAGTTCTTTCCACAGTAGAGGTGCATAGTGAAGAGAAGTAGTCAATGAGGTAGAAGGACAATCATCAGTGCGTCTCACAGTAAGGCAGGAGAAAATTTTAAAGAGTAGGAAGCCAGTTGTTTCCAATATGGCAGACAGGTTGAAACAGATAAGAACTCAAATACACCTCTATAATTTGGGATCACAGGGCACTATTCTTAAATAGAGCAGGTTCAGAAATTAACTAGGACTCAAGTCCATGTCTAGTAGTTGAAAATGAGCTGGGGGTCAGGTGCTGTGGTGCAGTGGGTTAACACCCTGGCCTGAAGCGCCAGCATCCCATATGGGCGTCAGTTTGAGACCTGGCTGCTCCGTTCTGATCCGGCTCTCTGCTGTGGCCTGGAAGAGCGGTGGAGGATGGCCCGAGTCCTTGGGTCCCTGCGCCCATGTGGGAGACCTGGAAGAAGCTCCTGGCTTCAGATTTGCACAGTTCCAGCCATTGTGGCCAACTGGAGAATGGACCGGCGGATGGAGGACCTCTCTCTCTCTGACTCTCCTCTCTCTGTGTAACTCTGATTTTCAAATAAATAAATAAATCTTTACTAAAAAAAAGAAAGAAAGAAAATGATCTGGTAATGAGAAATGACTGGGGGATATACTTGTTCAGTATTTTAGGTAGGAATTGATGAAAAGGTGGTTTTTGAAGGTAACAGATTTAATGGATGGCATTATAGGCTAAGTGAAAACTGAAAATGTTTGCAAGCAATGGAAAAGAGCCTGGAGAAGTAGAATTTAAAGATGTAAATGTTAGAGAAAAATAGGTCCTAGAAGTTTGTATGTGAACACAGAGGAAATGCAAGAGAAGTCTCTTCTTTGTCAGAAATTGGAAAGAGGGAGCAGACCGGTAGAGACAAAACATAGATCCCAAGAACATTGAGGTGACAGAGAAGCTAAGGAATGTATAAGGGCCTGAGATTTCTTTTTTCATAATTTTTTAAAATTTTAAAGGAGAGAGAGAGAAATCTTTCATATTCTGGTTCATTCCTCAAATGCCCACAATAGTCTGCACCCCCAACACAGGGACCAACTACTTGAGCCATCACCCAGTACCTCCTAGGATGTGCATTAGCAAGAAGCTGAAATTGGAAGTGGATCCAGGACTTGAACCCAGGTACTCTGATGTGGCGTATGGAGGTCCCAAGTAGCATATTAACTGCAGTGCCATCTGCCCACCACAAGGCTCCAGATTTCTAAGCAATATGGTAGTTGAGGTTGCATTAAATCTACTATGGGTTCCTATAATGAGAAAAGTAGCAGAGTACTGAGCCAAAAGGTGGCTGTGATCAGGGTAGGGATAAAATACTCATAGCATAAACAATTGCAACAAGTCCCATTGGATTTGGTGTGAGTGGATTGAACTAAACAACTTTCAGCCCTCTTCAAAATCTAAAATTCTTCACCAAATCATACTTTAGAAGAGGAGATATAATTGAGATAGGTGGGAAAATAGCCCTGAGGCAGCAATGATTTAAAACTATAGCTCCTTTTATGTGACCTGAAAATGAAAACGAAGTACATAGGCAAATAGACACAGCTCTGCTCTCATGAGGCTTATGATCTGAGGTGGACATGGAAATCGAACTTTAAATTCCTGAGGAAAGACTTGGGAAGATCAGAGTACAAGCAATTTTGGTATAATATTTCTTTCTTTCTTTCTTTCTTTCTTTCTTTCTTTCTTTCTTTCTTTCTTTCTTTCTTGAGCACCCGCTCTGTGCCAAGCACTATGGTCAGTGTTTGGAAAACATCTGTAAGCAGCAATTTCTGTTCTGCTCAAGCTTATAGCCTAGACTAAGTAAGTATGCAACTAGAAAGAGGAATACATTTTTTTAAAAAAATTTATTTACTATTTATTTTATTTATATGAGAAGTAGAAAGACCGAGAGAGACACACACAGAGAGTTCCCTTCTACTAGTTTACTCCCCAAATGTCTGCTAGGGCTGAACCAGGCTGAAACCCAGAGCTGGGAACTCAGTCTGAGGCCAGGAATGGCAGAGATCCAAGTACCTGAGTCATATCTGCTGCTTTATCGAATCTGCATTAGCAGGAAGCTGGTACTGGAAAAATGAGCCGGGACCCAAACCAAGGCACTCCAACATAGAATGTGAGTGTCTCAAGCCCTAAGCCAGACACTCGCTCCAGAATGCATCTTTTATTTTTTTAAATGTTTGTTTGTTTTTGTTTGAGGGTCAGCGTTATACAGAGAGAGAAGGAGAGGCAGAGAGAGAGAGGTCTTCCATCCGCTGTTTCATTTCCAAATTGGCCGCAGTGGCCAGAGCTGTGCCTATCCAAAGGCAGGAGCCGGAGGCTTCTTCCAGGTCTCCCACGTGGGTGCGGGGGCCCAGGGACTTGGGCCCTCTTCCGCTGCTTTCCCAGGCCATAGCAGAGAGCTGAATGGGAAGTGGAGCAGCCGGAACTCAAACCAGGGCCCATGTGGGATGCCAGCACTGGAAGCAGGGGCCTCAGCCACTGCGCCACAGCACCAGCCCCTAAAATAGAATTCAAATCAGATTCCATTTCACTCAAAAACTCAAGCTGTTATACAAAACCATAGCAGCTCCTTGAGTTTCAGTTTACTCATCTCAAAGGGAAAGAGTGCTACCAGATAATTTCTAATATTCCCTGTGGTCCCCAGTACTCTAATTTTACATGCATACAGGCATGATAGCCACAGAGGATAGGAGAAATGAAATAAAACATAATCTGCTTTACATCATGACTCTATTTTTCTTATAATTTAAGGTCATTTTCTGAAATTATAAAAGAAGTGAATGTGTAAGCGAAAGTTACAGGAAGATATTACTTCAGATGTAGAACTAAAAAGTATATACATTACCTAAATAGGCAATATGAAGGCTGGGTAGTCATTCTCTGTACACTTTGCAAAAAAAAAAGTTCTTAGAAATATTAAAATTATACAATGTGACAACAAGCATACCAGTAATTGAAATTATTAGATAAAACCTTACTACTCAGATTTCAAATCTGATGCCTTTTTAATAACAAATAAAGAACCTAATCATAAAAAAAAAAAAAAAAATAAATAAATAAATAAAGATACAGACTGGCTGAATGGATTAAAGAACCAGACCCATCTATTTGCTTCCTACAAGAAACATGTCTCACCAACAAAGATAAAAGCAGACTGAAAGGTAAAGGCTGGAAAAAGATATTCCATGCTAATGGAAAGGAAAAAGGGCAGTTGTTGCCATCCTAATATCAGACAAAATAGAGTTTAACAAAAAAAAATCTGTTAAAAGAGATAAAGAAGGACACTTTGCAGTATTTAAGGGATAAATTCAACAGGACGATGTGACTATAATATATGTATATGCACCCAGTTGCAGGGCACCTGGCTATTTCCAAGAAATGTGAGTGGATCTGATGGGAAACATTGACCCCAAAACAATAGTAACAGAAGAATTCAACACCCTGCTTTCATCAATGGACAGATCAAACAGACAGAAAAAAATCAAAGGAACAGCATATCTAAGTAGCACTATGGACCAAATGGACCTGATATCTACAGAACTTTCACCCAACAGTTGCAGAATGCACATTCTTCTCATCAGCGCATGAAACTTTCTCTGGGATAGACCTTATTATAGACCATAAAACAAGTCTCTGCAAATTCAAAAAAATTGAAATCATGCCATGCATCTTTTCTGACCACAATGGAATGAAGCTAAAAGTCTAACTCAAGAATCTCTAGATCATATGCAAATACATGGAGACTGAACACCATGTTCCTGAATGAACAGTTTGTAATAGAAGAAATCAAAAGAGAACTAAAAAAATTTATGAAAACAAATGAAGATGACTATACATCATATCAAAATTTACAGGATACAGCAAAAGCAGTGTTAAGAGGCAAGTTTTTAACAATCTGTGGCTACATGAAGAAATTGGAAAGGTAGCAAACAAGTGATTCATCATTGCATCTCAGAGACCTCAAAAAACAACAAACCAAACCCCAAATTGGTAAGAGGAAAAAAGAATTAAAATTAGAGAAGAAATAAACAAAATTGAAACAACATCAACAACAAAAAAACAAATACAGTAAAATGAAGAGCTGGTTTTTGGAAAATATAAACAAAATTGATACACCACTGGTCAGCTAAACAAAAAAAAAAAAGAAAGAAAAATGAGGCAGGAGAACTAAATCTCTATTTAAGTAACCCCTTTTCCATCAGCAGTACTGTTAGGTTCATAATGTGATCTGCTGCTCTTGGTGTCTTGAAGACTAAAGTTTGAGCTGTGTACAAAGTAGATTAGATTTTGCCACATTAGGAGGAGTTTGTGTCACAGAGAGTTCAGCTTCATCACAAATCCTTGCAGGATCCTCTTGTATCTCCAAAGGTTTTACTCTGCAAACAGGGCTGTCATCCTACTTGATCCATGAGCAATTCTTCCCTATCTGGGAAGGTGGTCCTTTTTTATCAAGTGCTATCATGTATGCCTTTGACCAAATTATAGACATTTTCTGTCTAGGAATGTTATCCTTATGGATCACATGCTGCTTGCAAACACTTGACTGATGACTTATTCTCTGTCAGGTGAAGCTGTCATCTTTAACTGAGTACTTGACTTTGAGAGGGATGCATGCTGACCAGTTAGTAGCAAAGGGCCCTGCTCTAATTGGTCACATTAGTAGAATCTGGTGGTGTTTTAGCCTGGAGCTTTGGAGACTATGGTGAGGTTACATACACAAAGAATGAGTGGTTGATGTAAATCCGGTTTTGCTTTGTTTTAAGTGGTTTTACAGATTAATAAGTTTACAGAATTCTTAAAGAATACAGTTATCTTAGCCATATTGCATCATTGTAATCTGTTCTCTCTGCTTATAATTTCTGTGTTGTGTGTTCTTTATTTGTAAAATGCCTCACAGGGCTGTTATGAGCAATTAATTAGTTAAGAAATATCTTTAAAAAAAGAGCAGAACTTTGCCACAGAATGCCCAAAACCATGCTGCCAAAAAAGAGTGTAACAAGTACATTTTTCTATCATGTAGGAAATTGTGTCTAGAGGGCAGAATATATGAAATGAATTTTCCTGAACTTGTGACAGTGTAGAAAGGAGAGTATATCCAAGCAACATGAAAAGGGAATAACAAAGAAAATACATATTTCAAAATTCACTGACATATTTGAATATCTGTGCCAAAACTTGTTAGATATACATGTGACCTTGGAAGAGTGGGAGCTAAGTAAAATAACTTATTTAAAGATTTTAGGACAATGCTTGAAGTAGACTGGATGCTCAGCAAATAAATACTCATTATCCCCCTTCCTTCTCAAAAGTATATTAAGCTAAATACAACTGAAGATGAAGAACATGGTCATATGGCACAGTAGCTTTTTTCTGGCTTGGAGTGTATAACAAAGCCATAGTCTCAAATTGAAAAGGTATACAATTCATTTTTTAAAAATATTTATTTATTCTAGAGATTTATTTATTTGTCTATTTGCGCACGTGCACATGCATGCGCATGATCGCAAGAGAGAGAGTGAGAGAGAGAAACAAATATATTCTATCTGTTTGTTCACTTCCCAAATGGCCACAACAGCTGGAGCTGAGCTGATCAGGAGCAGGGGTTATTCTGAGTCTCCTATGTGGGTGCATGGGCCCAGGTCCTTGGGTCATCTTTCGCTACTTTCCCTGGCACATTAGCAGGGAGCTGTATCAAAAGTGGAGCAGCCAAACTCAAACTAGTACACATATGGGATGCAAGCACCGCATACAGTCTTTATCCTCTGCCACAATGATGGCCGAATGCAATTCACTTTTTATTTGGGGAAATAATGCATCTAATTTTTATATTTATTAATTTTTTATTTGACAGGTAGAGTTATATATAGAGAGATAGAGACACAGGTCTTCCTTCCATTGGTTCACTCCTCAAATGGCCACTATGGCCGGCGCTGTGCCGATCTGAAGCCAGGAGCCAGGTGCTTCCTCCTGGTCTTCCATGGGGTGCAGGGCCCAAGGACCTGGGCCATCCTCCACTGCCCTCCTGGGCCACAGCAGAGAGCTGGACTGGAAGAAGAGCAACCGGGACTGGAACTTGGTGCCCATATGGGATGCCGGCCCTGCAGGTGGAGGATTAACCAAGTGAGCCACACCGCCCGTCCCCTAATTTTTAATTTTTTGGACAGTGAATTTAGAAGGGATTACAAGACATTGTAAGTAAACATTTCTAAAAAAACATCAAATTCAAACTATACTAACCTTTATAAAGTAAAAAGAGCATAAGCATTGTTATCACAAATATGTGAATTTGAATCTTAGCTCTTTCTATCCCTGTGATTTATAGCTATGTAACAAATTCAGGATAACCTAGGCTATTCTGAAGCATAATAAAAATTTATTCCCTAAGCATGATCTACATGACAGGCCTTTTTAGATAGTAATCATTCAGTGTTTAATGAGGCAGAAGTGATCCTGCCTACCTCCACAGAGCTGGCAGTCTAGTTTCCTTCTAGACATTTCCCTTGACTGAACTGAAAGGTATAAAAAGTGAGAAAAGGATATTTCTTTCCAGTGAGAATAAACTAAAAGAAAAATGATAGCCACATGAAGGGAAAGTAGCAAAAGATCACATTTCATTCTGCAAAGCCTGGCTTTGCCCCCTTGCACCAAGATCCTTACTGAAGTCAAAGCAGAATATATACTTGTTTACCTTTTTCCATAACCTGTACTGTTGGACTAGAACATTAGATTATGTGTGGGGTTTTTTGTTTGTTTGTTTTGGGGGATATTGTGAAATTATATATCCTCTTATACCTGTACTCTAAAAGTGAGAACCTCTTATGAGTTGAGGCAGATAATCATCAATAAAAGTATGCCATCATAGGAAAACCCTGGGAATTTGCATTGCATGCACTTGTGTTAAAGATCTGCCTTCATTTCTTAATATATATGTGGCTTTGATAATTTATGTAACTTTTTTGGACCTCATTTTCCTTTTCTATAAAGTGAGGATAATAATAGCTACACTATAAGGTTGTTGTAAAATCTAGAAACAAATTAGAACTATGCCAGAAATGAAATACCTCAGTATTAAAATTATCATTTCTTGTTTTTAAAAAAATAACACTTGTTTTAGTTTTGTGACTGTCTTGCAGAAATATTTGCTCTCTGAGCTTGGAATCTAAAGGATTTGCTTCAGGAAGGTCGGTTCCTCTTTTTTGAATTTTATTTAAGTTATACAAGTTTCATACATTTCATATGTACAGATTTAGGAACATAGTGGTACTTCCCCTCTACACTCCCTCCTGCCCACGCTCCAATCCTTCCTCCCCTTGTATCATCCCCTTTGCAGCATATAGGAATTAAAGTCACAGTTAAATGCCCAAGGTGGGAGGGAGCCTACAGATTGTTTAGTCAAATATCTTTGCTTTGCAGATGAGAAAGTTAAAGAGCAAGTGACATGCCTAACATCACAAAATGAGTAAGTTGTGCTTAATAATAGCACAATATCTCAGTGCAGGGATTGCAGAGATTTTAATATTGGGGCCCCTTTTTCTTACTCCATGGAGTCACTTTAACTTGATATCAAAATTGGAAACTTAAAATGTTATCCCATGTGTAGTTTTGACTCAAACTATGGGAATAGAGGAATAACATGTATGAGGTTAGAAATTTGAAGCCATTGAGTACTCTGTGCTAGATATTGACCTAGCTATTAACTTATTTTATTCCATTTAACTCTTAAAATTTAGACATTGCTATTCCCCTTGCTTGTACACAAAACAATTGAGGCACAGAAAAGTTGAATAATTTTTCTAGAAATTCTGCTAGTATGAGATAGATCCATAATTTGATTCCAGGTAGTCTGATGCTGAGGCTTGTGTTTTCAGTCATTTTATTATACTCACTGCCTTTAGTAATGGAGTAAATGGTAGCTTGATAGACTGGTCCAAATCTTCCTGGGTCTCTCTTAATTTTACTGCTGAAATTCCCGAGTTCCAGTAAGCCTCTGAGTCAAATGTAAAACAGCTATCTGTTTATGCTCTCCAGATGGGCACCCATATGTTATCCCATAGAATGATGCATATGCGTGTTTTCCTAATGCCAAAATACTGTATGATTTTAGGAGACTATTTTGGAGGTGGTTGTGGTACTGATATGAACACTGAACTGGAAGTCAGAAGAATCAAGAGTGTGAGGATTCTTTACTTACTAGCTTTTCATTAGCTGCTTCACCACTGTAAGCTATTTCATAGAGTCTTTGTAATCTAAGTAAATTATCATGCCATCTCCAAATGTAAGGAAGAATGATGATAAAGACAATGATGATGATTTAATTTCAATAAAATAATTGCTTAGAAATGTTTAGTAATTTTCTATCATTTATAAATAGTATTCTCTTTTTTGAGCCCTGCTCTGCAAAGTATTATGATCCAAAGGGCCTTCATGACCTAGCCCTGTTTTCTTTTGCCATTCCCTTCTGACAAAACCTGTTGCTTACCCGAGTTTTATCAACTCTTGTGGAGTTGCATTTACTGAAGAATATTATGTTCTTTTTAGGCCTCTCTGCCTTTAGTTTCTCCATAAATACCTCAAGGATCCTTCTTCACAGTCTGCTCTGCCAATGTTATTCATTCCCCTCTTATTACTTCATTCACATTGAGAGCTTCAACAAAATCAAAGAACTCTTACTTATACTCTTAACTGTCTGCTGTATTCACATTAATAATGCCTACTACACATATAAACTTGAAAATTTCACATAGAGCTATACTTAGGCTAATACTGAACTCATTCTTTCTCTATATTTGCTTGTCCTCCTTTGTTCTGCACATCTCTTTGAGAGTGTCATCATCCCAAATGTCATCCAGTTTGGACACATCATAGTCTTTTCAAATTCTTCCTTATTTCATTCCAACTTCCAGATATTCAAGTCCCATAGATTATATTCCTCATTATCTCTCAAAGACATTCCCTAATTTTCCACCCCAGCACTATCATCTGATTTCAGCCTTTAACCTCTTCTGAGTTGGCCGACTGCATCAAATTTCTTCCTAGACTTCTTATTTTTCTGGTTGTCTCTCCTTATTATTGCCTCTCTCTCTAAATTTGCCATGTGTTCTCCAAGTTGTTGACATATAATCTTATTAAAATCATGATTTGATATTGTGACTTTTCAGTCCATAATTCTTTAAAGATTCTGTAACATTCAAAATATAGTTCATATTCCAAAGCTCAATATGCAACTCTTTATGATCTAAAAGTTATATATTACTCTAATTTTATCTCCTACCACTAAACTCTCCTCTATATACCGCCTTTTTATTCATATACATACACAGCTCCAACATAAGGATTGACTATAATTCTCCATCTCCCAGCCAAAAGATCTCAAACTTTGTTTAAAGAAATAATCTGTTTCCTGTGCCTGAAATGTCATCCTTCTCCACCTACTTCCCTTCCTTCCCTTCCCCTCACTTCTCTTTCCTTTCCTTTCCTTCCTTTCCTCTCCTTTCCCTTCCCTTCCCTTCCCTTTCCTCCCCTCCCCTCCCCTTCCCTTCCCTTCCCTTTTCCTTCCCTTTCCCTTTCTCTTCCCCTCCCCTCCCCTCCCCTCCCCTCCCCTCCCCTCCCCTCCCCTCCCTTCCCCTCCCCTCCCCTCCCATATAAATACCTCCCAGGTATTTCCTATTTACTGAATAGAGCATGTCTACAAGGATTTCTAGCTTTAGGTGAAACCATTTGCACATATTATGGTAGCAATCTTTTTCACTGTGGCTAGGAATATAGAATGGAAGAATCCCAGTTAGAAGATGGGGCACTGGGAATGGTGACAAATTTTTCATGGTGATAACTTGGCAAGAACTATGAGAGTTGTAAACAACCCAGTCAAGTGGAATGGAGCTTAATGCTAGGTTTTATTCTCATAGGGGTTCTTACTAGTATCTGAAATGAAATTTAAGAGTTTTGACATACTTGAATATAGTGAATTGGGCTCCTATTGGGGTAGTAAAAAGAAAGCTACTGGTAAATGGAAGCTCAGAATTCAGCATCTTTTATAAGCTTATTTCAGGCTTTGTGATTAAATGAATGAATAACTAGTGCCTGTTCCCAGACACAGACACTGAGCACTGAACTCAGGGCTATAGGCCTAATTCCCGTCTTGCTTTCTGTTATGGATATGTCTCTATATGTACTTGCTTGATGCTCGTGGGCTTGATGTCTGGGTGGCACTAGGTTATAGTGTCAGGTCTCCACCATGTGCTGTTTGGTAGAATCTAGGCCTTTGGTGAATGACCATGGAGAAAGAGTACAAAGTGTCAATTAACACTTGTATCACTTTCCTTCCTGAGTACTGAGACACTGAAGCATACAGTATATCTACCTTGTGATTCTATCACAGTCAGGGATAATTTTATATGTCTATTTGCAGTTTCTAGTATGGGGCCTGGCACACAGTGGTTACTCAACAAGTGTTAATGAAATAAAATAAATGATAACAAATTGGAATCATTAATAAATTCTTAATAATTTCTTAATTTTTTCTCAAATAATGTCAAATTAAAGTACATCTGTTATTTCATATATCTGGTTACAGTCTGGTTTCTTTTTAGAAAATTTACTTTGGCTACTGCTTTTACCTGTAACAAATCACACTAGGATTATACAGAAAATGCTATTACTGGCCAATTAGATACCATGTACCACACCAGACACTGAGAATATTTCTCTTCCAGTTAAAGTAACTGCTGCCATGCTATAATTGATGTTGATGGAAAGAACTCTGTCATATTGTGTGTTACAAACTCTTTTTCATTCTCTGCTGAACACTCATTTGACTGTGTCGCTAGACATTGATTTGTGACTTGAAATAAGGCATTTTTAAGTGGTACATTGAAATTAGTTGCTTCAAGATGCATGCAAAGCCATTGTGGACTGGCCTCTTTGCTATCCACATACCTATTTTTGTGTTTGACTGTCCAAAGGAGGAGATTCCCCATAGTCAGTAAACATAAATGACTAAATGGTCTCTCTCTCTCTCTTTCTTTTTTTTTTTTTTTCCTTTCTCTTTTAAGCAAAGGCAATGTATACTATACAGCTTCTGATTGTATTGTTCTGGTCACACTTTGAAGTTCTTGTTTTGTGTGAAATATGTCTGAATTGATCACCCCAAGATACACAAAGTGCAAACATTAGATCAAGGAAAGAGCAGTAAAGTAGGTCAAACTCTCCATAATTTGTAGTTTTCTCTCTGTATTTCTTTTTATGGTCTAATAAAGTTTTTTTTTTCTTTTTCAGCAAGATAGGGTTATTTGATCTGCATTATCTCTCTTTAGCATGAAAGCAAGGCCTTGCTTTGCAGCACAAGTCCATTTGCCCAATAGGTATTTATTGAGCATGTGCCGAAGGCTTGGAGCCTGATCTTCATATAGTCATCTTTTCTGCCACACCTGATTTCTGTGGAGTCTCTCTCTCGCAGGCACTTTGGATTGATGGAATGTTCTTTCTTCTTAAGTATACTTGTGTTCCTAATTTATCTTTTTTCTCTGCTGAGCAACTTTGCCCCCTTTATGTAAAATCTAGGTAAAGGTAAGGTTGGATTTGTAAACCCATCCTGTTGTCCAGCCCCTTCCCTTTATTTCCATGCCCAAACAAGAAGCTGCTGCAGCCCTTTTCCCCCCATCATTTCTGTTTTGTAAAAATGGGAGAATTCCTTGATGACCCACTAGTTTACAGAAACTACATATATAAACTTATTATATCACACTATTTTAATTCTCTGTATGATATCTATAATTATCAGATTTTCTTGTTAAATTGGTATTGTTTCTATTCTCAAATAGGATATAATCTCCAATGAAGCAAAGATCTCGGCCATCTTTTACATTACCACATCCCTAGCAGCCTCAGTTGTCCCTGGCACCTAGAAGGCATTCCATAATTATCAGTTGAAATTAATACATCTATTCCAACTCTTCAAGGTACATATTATTGTTTCCATTTTGTATTTGGGAAACCAAAAAGGTAAGTTATCCAAGACACTGCACTTGCAAGTTTTGAGTGAAAATCAAAACAAATTCGGCTGGCGCCTTGGCTCACTAGGCTAATCCTATACCTGTGGCACCAGCATCACGGAGTTCTGGTCCTGGTTGGGGTGCTGGTTCTGTCTCAGTTGCTCCTCTTCCAGTCCAGCTCTCTGCTGTGGCCTGGGAAGGCAGTGAAGGATGGCCCAAGTGCTTGGGCCCTGCACCTGCATTGGAGACCAGGAGGAAACACCTAGCTCCTGGCTTCGGATCAGTGCATCGCGCTGGCCGTAGCAGCCATTTGGGTGGTGAACCAATGGAAGGAAGACCTTTCTCTCTGTCTCTCTCTCACTGTCTAACTCTACCTGTCAAAAAAAAAAAAAAAAAAAAAAAAAAAAAAAAAAAAAAAAACAAGTTCACTAAATTCAAAGCCCATACCCTTTCATTAAGCTATGCAGGCTTTTCACAGTTGCTCTTGATTTCCTAGGTTAACCTTAGAGTGAATTAGACATTTTTTGCCCATAGAAGTTCATGGTTTAGTAGAAATGATGACCAAATTAATGTTTTCTAAGATAGTGTCATGGGTGTCACAAGAAAGGCTATGAATAGATTGCTGTGTTGTTACAAACAAGGGATTAAGAAAATTTTCTTGTGGAGATATCTTTAAAGATAATTTTAAGTTTTCTAGGCAAAAAGGGGTGGAATGTAAGTCAGGAGCAGGGCACTATAATGTGGATCTGGTAATAGACAAAAGATGTTCTGAATGACTGTAGTGACCATATGGACTCCCTGTTTAAGCCCTTGCAGAGAGATTCCAGGATTACACTGTGGCGAGTTTAGTGACCAGATATATGGACCTTAACTATCAACTGCATCTGCAACCATATTCTTAAAGGACCACAACTACAGGTTTCTTTTGGTTATTTCCCTATTTCTTGTCATTCTGTAGACTTTACACCAATTATATTAATTAACATTAATAATTAATCTATAGTACATATTTTGGTGTAAATTGCTTGTGTTCGAATCCAGGCTGTGCTGTGTGACCTCAGGCAAGTTATCTGACCTCTTTAAAAATGAGGATCTTAATAATATTTACCTGATAGGATTTGTGTGACAATAAAATAAATCAATATAATTAATGTATATAGAAAAGCACCTGACAAAGCTGGTATATATTCAGTATAATTATAAATAGTAAGTAGAGAAAAGATATATATACTTAGAATACCAAACTTAAGTGTTGTGAGAAGGAAGTATGGTAGGGAGACTAGGTAAATATGTAAAGGAGGTATAATGAACTTTAACCTGGCACCATTCTTGCAAGGACTGATATCATGTGTGCAAAGTGCTTGCCATATAACTCTGAGGAAACTGTTAGTTCTCATGATAATGGTGATGATAATTCTTATCATAATCCCAAGCCTAGACAAGTTCACTGAACCGTTGTACTTGGGTAGCTGTTGCAGGTATACCCACTGGGGGAAAAACAGGTATAAACCCTACATACTTAGATCTTATGTGTGAACTTAACTCATGTTAAGTGCAAATATGAGTGTGGTTTATTCATTTCTGTGTTTAGTGCCTAATACAGTGATTATTCAGTAACTTCATTAATTTATTAATGAGACTAGATTATCTGACTTTATATAAATTGAATCAAAATGGAAATTAGGATCAGTGTAAATCTAATCACATACAGATGTTATTGATTTATAGTGAGTTACGTCCTGATAAACTCATCTTAAATTGAAGATACTGTAAGTAAAAATACATTTAATACACCTAACCTACTGAATGTCATACTTGGCATCACAGTATACTATAGCATTAGATTGCTCATGCTCATAATCCTGGGGTTAACTGCAGTCCTCTGCTTCCTATGAATGTTCGGTATCAAGAAACAATACTGCACAGCAAATTTCAATCTTGGGAAAAGATCAAAATTTCAAATAAAGTTTTTACTGAATACGTATTGCTTACACACTTTTGTGAAGTTGAGAAATCCTAAGTCAGGCCCATCATAAGTTGAGACTGTTTGTATAATTTTTTGAAAATCAAAGACGACTGTATGTATTTAGACCAATACTTTTATGGTGTTAGTACCAGTCTGTTTTGATTACAACTGCTTGTAATATATCTTGAAATCTTGTATTGTGATGATTCCAGATTTATTTCTATAGTTTAGGATTTCTTTAGGTATTTCAATTCTCTAGTGATACCATAAGAATATTAGGGATCATTTTTTTTCCTAATCTCAGATGAACACCTTTGGTATTTTGGTTGTATGATATTGAACCTTTAAATTGCTCTGGTTAATATGGACATTTTGATTATATTAATTCTTCAAATCCAGAAACATGGATGATTTTCCTGATGTATTGTGTCTTCTATTTCTTTCTTTAATGTTTTATAATTTTCATTGTGGAGAATTTTCACATACTTTGTTAAATTTATTTCTGTAGCTATTGTGAATGGGACTGATCTTACAAGATTTTTCTCAGCCTTGACATTGATTTTTGTGTATTGATTTTATATCCTGCAACTTTGCATTCCTATACTGTCTTAGTGGAGTCATTTAGTTTCCCTATAAATAGAATCATATCATCTGCAAACAGGGATAATTTTTTGATTTCATCATTTCCCATTTGTATCTCTTGATTTCTTTTTCTTTTTTTTTTTCTAATGGCTCTGGCTAAAATTTCCAGAATTATATATTTTTTAATATTTCATTTTTTAATTACTTATTTGACAGGTAAAGTTATAGACAGAGAGAGAGAGAGACAGAGATAAAGGTGTTCCTTCCATTGGTTCACCCCCCAAATGACTGCTACAGCTGGTGCTGTGCTTATTTGAAGCCAGGAGCCAGGTGCTTCCTCCTGGTCTCCCATGCGGATGCAGGCGCCCAAGCACTTGGGCCATCCTCCACTGCCCTCCTGGGCCACAGCAGAGAGCTGGACTGGAAGAGAAGCAACTGGGACTAGAACCCGGTGCCCATGTGGGATGCCAGTGCTGCAGGCTGAGGATTAACCAAGTGAGCCATGGTGCCGTCCCCCAGAATTATATTAAATAGTAATGTTGAGAGTATGCATTCTTGTCTATTCTAGATCTCAGTGGACATGCTTCTAGCTTTTCCCCATTCAGTATTATGCAGACTGTGTGTTTGTTGTATACTGCCTTGAATATGTTATGTTCCTTGTATACCCAATTTGCTTATTTTTTTTAATCACGAAAGTTGTTGTAGTTTACCAAGTGATTTCTCTGCATTTATTTAGATAATCATGGTTTTCATTCTTCAGTTTGTTAAGGTGACATATCACATTTATTGATTTGCATATGTTGAACCATCTGTGCATACCAGTGATAAATCCCAGTTGTTATGGGTAAGTGCTCTCTTTGATGTATTGTTGGGTTGGCTTAGCTGGTATTTTTGAGGATTTTTACATCTAGGTTCATTAAAGATATTGGTCTACAGTTCTCTTTCTTTGTTGTATTGTTTTCTGGTTTTGAAAGTAAGGTGATGCTGGATTCATGGAAGGAGTTTGTGAGGATTTCCTCAATTTTAATTGTTTTGAATAATTTAACAATAATAGTAATTAGTTCTTAAAAAGTTTGAATTAAGCAGTGAAGCCATTCTACTCTTTCATTTATTTGTTGGGAGGGTCTTTATTACTGATTCAGTGTCCATCTAAGTTATTTGTGTTTTTAAGTATTCTATATCTTCATGACACAATTTTTGTAAATTTTTTTGTGTCTGCAAATCTGTCCATTTCTTCTACATACATTTTCCAATTCATTGCAGTATAGCTGTTTGGGTGTTAATTCCTGATGATTTTTTATTTCTGTGGTATTGACTATAACATTTCATCTTTCATATCTGATTTTATTAACTTGTTGGGTTGGTTTGGTCAATGTTTTGTCAATTTTGTTTGTTTTTATAAAAAAAAAAGCGCTTCATATTTGTTTCAGTTTTGTTTATTTTTAATTTTATTATTTCATTCTACTGATTTTAGGCTTTGTTTGTTCCTGTTTTTCTATATACTTGAGATGCATCGTTAGATCTTATATTCAATGCCTTTCCAATCTTAGGCACTAATTGCTAGAAACTTTCCTCTTAATGTTGCTTATGGTGTAGCTTATAAGTATTGATATGTTATATTGTCATTTCCATTCATTTCTAGGAATTTTTTAATTTCCTTTTTGATTTCTTCTGTGATCCAGTGTTCATATAGGAGCATGTTGTTCAGTCTTCATGAGCTCTCATGTTTTCTAAAATTTCATAAGTTGTTCATTTCCAGCTTTATTCCATTGTGGTCCAAAAAGATACATGGTATGATTTCAGTTGTTTTTGAACTTGTTGGAACTTGTTTTATGTCCTAGCATATGGTCTATCCAGAAAAAGTTCCATACCATGATGAAAAGAATGTGTACTCTGCAGCTGTAGGATGAAATGTTCTGTACTTATCAATTACATCCAATTAGTTAATAGTGTAGATTAGCTCTGTAGTTTCTTTGTTGATTTTTTCTTTGTCTAGTTGATGTGATTCGCTTGATGAATGTTGGAATTTGAAGTCCCCCATTATTTTTGTATTGGAGCATATCTCTTCTTTAGATTCATTAGCATTTGTTTTAAGCATCCAGATGCCTCAGCATTGAGGCTATGTAAATTTATTATACTCACATATTCCTGTTGAATTTATCCCAGAATCATTACATAATGCCTTCCTTGACTATTTTAACAGTTTTTCTCTTAAAGTCTGTTTTGTGTGATATTATGATGGTTATGCTGCTCATATTTATTTCCATTAGCATGTAATATATTATATTCCCTCATTTTTTCACTCATAGTCTGTGGGTTTCTTTGTTGTTAAGGTATATTTCTTGTAGAAATCATTCAGATGAGTCTTGGGTTTTTTAAATTTTATTTAAGGTATACAAAACTTCATGTATTTCTTATATACAAATTTAGGGACATAGTGATTCTTCCCACCCTACATTCCTTCCTGCCCACACTCCCACACTTCTTCCTCTTCTCTCTCCTATCCTATTTGTACTCTTAATTTTTACAACGATCTGTTTTTAATTTCCTTTATATTCATAATAATCACCCTGCAGTAAGTAAAGAGTTCAACAAATAGTAATGGGGGTGGGGGAAACACTGAAGATAGAATTTCACTCTTTTCATGACTGAATAATATTTCATAGTGTATAAACACAGTAATTTCTTTATCTAGTCTTCAGTTGATGGACATCTGGGTTGATTCCACATCTTAGCTATTGTGAATTGAGCTGCAGTGAACATGGGGTACAGATAACTTCTCCATATACTGATTTCATTTTGTTCGGCTAAATTCTCAGGAGTGGGATTGCTGGGTCATGTGGTAGATTTATTTTCAGCTTTCTGAGGTATATCCATGCTGTCTTCCATGATGGCTGCACCAGTTTCACTCCCACCAACAGTTGATTACAGTACCAGTTTCCACACATCCTCTCCAGCTTTTATTATTTATTGATTTCTGCATGAGAGCAATTCTTACTGAGGTGAGGTGAATCCTCATTGTCATTTTGATTTGAATTTCCCTGATGGCTAGTGATCTTGAGCATTTTTTCAAGTGTCTATTGGCCATTTGAATCTCCTTTTTGAAAAATGCTTATTCAAGTCCTTGGCCACTTCTTAACTGGACTATTTGTTTTGTTGTTGTTGAGTTTCTTGAGTTCTTTATAGATTCAGGAAATTAATACTTTATCAGTTTCATAGATTGCAAGTATTTTCTCCCAATCTTTTGGTTGTCTCTTCACTTTGCTGAGTTTTTCTTTTGTGGTGCCAAAACTTCTCAGCTTGAGGTAATGCTATTTGTCAATTTTGTCTTTGATGCCTATTTTTTCTGGAGTCTTTTCCAAGAAGTATT